CTCATTGTCCATCTCACACTTCTGTTGCAGTGCTCTTCGAACATCGAGGATTATATGAAAAATTGAGTGAGTGCATTATGTGAGATCAAATAATTCAATCGCTCACATTTTTCATTACTTACATAGAAGTGGCAAACATTACCGTACAAACATTCAGAAAAAGTTTTCGGTCATCCTCAATTTGAATAAATTTCAGCAGTAGTTTACCGTGGAGACACGGTAACTACACTGGAGAAACGATGATTCTAGAATTCTTTGAAACTTGTACAGCGAGGTTAATTGATGTGCAGAAAACAATATTCGTTCTCTCCGAACCCCTTAAGGCAAGGAAACGGCAATGTATCAAGGAGCGCCCTGCAAATTACTTTATAACACTAAGATGTCACTAAGTCGAACAAAAGTAGTATTTGAATTTACAACATCAAATAGTCTCAATATGAAAGTTAAAAAGTTGAGCGTGGCTGTCTGCAGTGCACTCATCTAGGAAGACGTTACTTGTAGTATAGATATGTTATTTGGTTCAACCCTTTCCAAACTCTTCTAGCCACTTTCTACAGTGGAGAAGCCGAAATAAGGTGAGAGCCTTACTCCTCGAACGTGTTAAGTGAAATCTGATGCTATGCCTTTGAGGACTCTGGAGCAGTCATGAAAGATCTGAAAAACGTTCATAACAAAAATAGACGACAGCAATCGTGATTACGGAAGCCAATAAAGAAGCCATTCTCTCGTTTTTTTTTTCGTAATTAAGGCACACCGGCAATTATGAGCGACAATCTTTCCCTAATGAAAAACTAATTCGCTTTTCTACCAAATATAGCTGAATTCGGTGGCGTATCGCCTCGTCAGCTCTACGCGTCATTGCATTTTAATTTAGACTAATATATTCTTTGCCATTCAAAGTGTATTTCTTCGGATCTTAAGTCAGCAACTTACAAGAAAGCAATATTTAACAATTAAATTATCGGCAGGAGCTACACAGATTCCTTAGTTGCAGAAGAACTTTCTTAACCTAGGAAATCCTCCATGATTGCATTGTTGATTTGCTGACATTATTACTGATTATGTAACATAAATGAGCAGAATGTTGATGCTAACTTTCGAATATTATAAGAATGTCTATGTATGTTCAGGTGAAGATGGTCTAGATACTGATGTTCCCACTGAGCTGGAGGCTCACCTATTCACGACTCCAGGGCGAAAATTCATTTGGCTGCTCTTTCAGCCGCTTTTCTATGCGTTTCGTCCTCTAGTAATTTATAAAAAGGCACCAACCGATCTAGAGATCATCAATGCTATAATTCAGGTATTCATTTATAAGTAAAAGTGATTTGTGATATTGCTTATTGATCTTTAAAAGAGATTTTAGATTATTCGGATTGAGCATGCAACTTGCTTCTTTTTTCTTTGCAGCGGTTTCATAAAAGAAGAAAAATGAATTTTTTGAAATTTATAGATAAGCTTTGATGTGCTCATTTTGCAACTATTCGGCTATCGTTCTTTTGCGTACTTGATTATCGGTACACTTGTTGCCATGGGAGTTCATCCTAGTGCGGGTCATTTCATATCGGAGCACTATGTGTTCAAGGAAAATCAGGAAACCTATAGGTATGAAATCAAGATTAAACAATTCATACTACCTTTGACCGTTGCAGTTATTACGGACCATGGAATCTGTGCACATTTAACGTAGGATATCATGTGGAACACCATGACTTTCCTTATATTCCAGGGAGAAATCTACCAAAGGTTAGAGCCGAGCTCCTTAAATTCTGATAAAAGCACAAAATCGCTTCCTCAACTCCATTTTTAGGTTGCACAAATTGCTCCTGAATTCTATGAAGGATTGCATAGGCATTCATCGTGGACAAAAGTACTATTTGACTTTGTTGTTTCTCCAGATATTGGACCATATATGCGCTTAAAAAGAAAGGCTTCTGTACCACAAACATTCCAAGCAAGACATGCTCTAATGGAGTACTTTGAAGCAGTAAGTGTTTGTAGTAATTCCAATAAACACAAATAAACTACTTTTTTTCAGTTCCTCCAACATGCTGGATTCAATGATGTCATGAGGATCGCCTCACACTGGTTAGACATAAATAATAATAAAAAGCATGTTTGATTTGTATCTACACTTACCACCGCATAAATATTTACACGCGGCCCGATGGATATAATCCCAATCTACGTAAGCTCCTGAAGTTTTGACAAAATCTACATGTACAACTATACAACCCTGCTGCTGTCTTCGTCTATAGTTTATTCCACTGAGCTCATCCCAGGATGCTTTTTTTTTTGGTCGCACTTACACATGCTCATCTTACTGGAAAGCCTTTTGGGAGATAACAGCTTCTTCTCCTTCAGTGAGAGAAAATTGAGGAAACGTGGAAAAAGACAAGAAATTAAGAAGTATCCCAGTAGTGGTGCCAAAGGCGCGCTACGGCGCGTATCTGCTGCGGACAAACAGCACCCGTAGGTCAGACCATAAATATTTGTACCAGGAAAAACTTTTGGTTCTTACAAAAAAGCATAGTTTAACACATTTCTTTCTTAACCAA